GCAGCTTGCCCAAACTTGATGCAGCAGCTAGCTCTTTGGGGCAGGCAAAGAAGAGTTTGGGTTGGAAGGACCTTAACACTCATCAAGTTCCATCCCCTGGGATGGGCAGGGATGTACCACCTGGAGCCAAGGATGCACGTTAGGAGGAGAGTCATCCCCCCTGCATCCAGAGCTGTAATAAAGTAAAACCTGCTTCTAATACTGCAACTGGTGTTAAGGAGTTTTATTCCTTAACTGTAGGAATAAAACCCCTACAGAGTACGTGCATGAGCAGAAAAGTCCCACTAAGAGGTTCCGACTTAATTTGCAAAAAAAAGAATAAAACAGCAAGCCAAGAAAGGAATCAGCTTTGAAAGAGATAAAGGGGAAAGCCAGGAAAGTTGCTGCTTGTAAGCTCAAAACAGCTGACACTACAGAACTGTGATGCTTCTATTGGGAACGAGGGGCAGATCTGGTGCACAATCAACACCTTCATTTCACTGCTCTTTGTGGAGTCATTATCAGCCAATTCCACCCGGGGGACTGTTCTCAGGAAAACTGAAAACACACCTTCTTGTTAAAGGTCTTAATAAAGAGACTGATCACATCCTGATAAGAGAAGTTCAACAGTATGTTTTTTTCTAAAAGCTGCACCTAATTTAGGTACCTTGGGAAACGTGCTCCCTGCTCAGACTCGGGAAATTAAGGGCGTGCTCACTGCACTATCTGAAAGCATCTGGACTGAGATACTTGAAAATGGCCAGTTTTCTTCTGGCTCCACAGAACTCTTCCCAAGCAATAAGGATGGGAAGCACTCACTGAAGCGCTGCCAGGTTCAGAGGATGTATAATTCCCGTGAATTCTCAGATCTCACAACATAAATCCCGTATTTTTAACCCGACAGCACTCCCAAAGACACCTGTTGGCATTACAATCTACTGCTCTATTGCCTGTTTGTACCAGGAAGGAAATACAGGGCATACAACCAGGCACAATAGTTCTCAGGTCTCCAGAGATCTGACTTAATTCTTCCAAAGTAACCCATTTTAGATTTGAAATTTCAGCCAGTGTAAGATATCTTCAAGATCCTGCAGCCAGGAAGCAGTAAACTTTCCATCTCTTTAACTCTTGTAAATACAAGCTGCTACTGAGAGACTAATATCAGGCCTTAATACTATTACACATCTAGAATTAACAACAGACTCTATAAAAATAAGAGACAAAACCCAACAGACTCTAATAAAAATAATGCCCTTTTTTATATCTGATTTTTTGGAAAGCTTTAGCCAAATCAGTTCTGGCAGAGTAGATAATAAATATGAGGCAGCAAAAAGCCAAACATGCAAGCAAAGATCTAAATGAGCACAAAAAAATGAATCCATATGATGTGGCTGTCCACACCCACCATCCCTTTCTTTTTCTAAAGGAAAGAAAACCAGAGCAAATTTCACAGCCTCTCACAAAATGGAATAATGTATTTGGGCTCTGACAGGTAGAAACTCCTCACAATGTCAAGCATTTTTCACATAAAGCAACAATAAATACATATTATATAAAGATTTAAACGTGTGCACAGACGCACAGAGAAAATCAAAGACCAAAACTGAAAAAGAAAAGGAAAGAATTGGAAGTCTGGTAAGCAAAATACATCCCCCAGCAAGGGACTGACTGCCAAACACCTCTGTCATGACTAGAAGTACCTGAAGAGGAGAGATAGAAAGGAGAAAGAGGGGAAGTAAAAGATTGTGTTCACCAATTTCTACAAAGACTGAAAACCATCTTCATGTTCACATTCACCCAGTGCCTGCATCCACACCAGCAACTCACATCACTGGGGGGAATGGAAAGTTCACACGAAGCTGAACCTCAGACTACAGCTCAGTCCCGAGGCAGGGCTTGCTCTTTTTCTGCAAAAAGGGGCAGCAGAACTGCTCATGACCAGGAACTGTTTCTGTTCTTCAAAATAACTTTTGCTGAAAATCTGCCCAGGGCGTGACAGCTTCTGAAGAGCTACGACTCACTGCCAGCCTTTTGTGGAACTCTAGGGGAGGGGTTTAAGTCAGCCTTGATTCTGGGGGCTGTAGCAGGGGTTGAGGTGCTCAAGGAAAGTAACAACCCGGAAAAGGCACGTGCAGCACAGGAAAATCCAGACACCAGAACGTCTGGATAACTGCACTGCTGCAACTTGGGTTTCCAGAATTCAAAGCACTATGCAGTTAGTCACATTAATTTTTTACAATACTGTGTTTTATTGGAGGTGGGAAAGTGTTTCTAAAGGCAGATCACAGATCAAACATTATCTCAGTTCATGACTAGTGTTACCCTGGGAAACCAGGCAGAGAAGATTCACCTCATGTCTGTCCATGGCATTAAGTAATTTTTCTGATGCCCTTTAATATAATTTTTTTCCTAAAGATTTCATTCATACAAGACACTCCAGTCAGATCTCTGAGTCTCTCTCAACAACAAAGGATCAAAAATGCTTTTTGGGACTGAGGGGATTGATGCAAGAGAACAGACAGAAGCAGAGCCAAGTCTTTCTGTGGTTGTTTTTCAGGTCAGTGCCTCTGGATCACAATGGAAAATGCAGATTTCTAGGACACGCAGGCTTTGCCCACACACCCACGGGGCTTGCCCACCACTCCCAGCTGTCAGTGTCACCCCCTGAGTGGGGGGAGCCTGGCCCCCCAAACCCCTGTGTGACAGCTCAGCTTACAGACCCGTGCTCTGGGAACAGGCATGGTGTTGGCAGGGAACCTGTGCCTATAAATACTCGATTTTACTCAGGCTGGAATCTTCCACTAAACCATGGCAGAGAGAGAAACAGCTGCCCGCCCCTGGACAGTCTGGGGAGTGCAGTAAGTGACCTTCCCTAGAGCAGGAGAACAGTTCTTAAAGCCCAGCTCCCTCTTTCCCCACCAAACACTTTGTTTCTGCATTTTAATTCCTTTCCATAATAAATAAAAGGCAGAGCATCAGAGCCCCAAAAGCAAGGAGTTAAACAAACAAATACTTCTTGCCAACAAAAGGCGCCTTCGGACACCTCTCAAGCTCACCAGGGAGCAGATGATTCATCCCAGAAGTGGGATTCCCAGGGGGACCCTGCTCCCTGTGGGGGGCTGGTCTGGATCACTGCTTTCCACCTCCTGCAAGTCACGTCTCACGCTGATTTTTAAACAAACAAGCAAGTCTATGTCCTTGATCACTACATCCGAGTTTAAATGCTCTCACTAACCACTTCAGTTAAGGATAAAATCCCAGAATTGTTTGGGTTGGAAGAAACTGTAAAGATCATCTCGTTCCAAACCCCTGCCATGGGCAGGGACACCTTCCACTACACCAGGTTGTTCCAAGCCCCGTCCAACCTGGCTTTGAACACTTCCAGGGATGAGGCAGCCACAACCAGAAGGTGTCTATCCTGGCAAACACCTCTAATGATCTTTGAGATAACGAAGCTCCGCAACAGAGACTTTCCACATCTGGAAAATCTTAACAAGGAAAAGCATGAAAGTAACTGGCCGCTTGCCCAGGGTTCCCAGCCTCGCCCATGACTAAGCTCCTGGAGCCGCGGAGTGCCCGATGTGTCACCCGCCCCCCGCCCGCCCCCCGTGTCCCGGTGCACAGGCTGTGTCCCACCTGCGAGAGGGGGCCAAGGTGCCGGGCGTGCCCCCCTTCGCCACAGCTGCTCCCCAAAGCCCGCGGTGCCCCGTGCTCGGTACCCCTCACCCCCCGCCCCGGGGGCTCTGTACGGACGCGGGGAGGGCCCTGCAGCCGGTGGAGCAGGGGCAGGAAGGCCCGCGGCCTGGCCTGGCCTGCCCCGCCACCGCCCCGCGGGCCCTCCCGGGCTGTGGGAAGGATCCCGGCAGGAGGGGCAGCGCGGGAAACCCAGGGAGCGCGACTCACGCTTGTACTCGGCCATGAGCCGCTTCAGCGCCGTCCCCGCCATGGCGCGGCCCCGCCGCCGCTTCCGGGTGCGCGGCCAGAGCGCCCGGGGGTGGGGATGGGGGGGGGCGCTCTATCCCGCCGCCCGCGCCTCTATGGTAGCGCCCAGTCCTCCAGCAGGCGCCGCGCGTGCCCAGGAAGGCACCGGGAATTCCCGCTCCCGCGGGCGAGCCTGGGGAAAGCGACGGGAACGCGGCAGCTGCTGCGCCACGGTGGGAGAGAGGGCAATACGCAAAATGCTGCATTGTGCGGCAACCCCCCCCCCCACGGAGCGGGGTCTGTGCAGCAACGCCGCCCCCTCCCAGGGGGATGTTGTGGAAGTGGTGCCTGGAGCGGCTCCCGCACGTGCCCTTCCAGCCGGGACAGGGCCACGGAGAGCACGAGGCGGGAGCCCGAGTCCCAGGCTGGATTCACCGTGTGCAACAGCAAAGGGCGGCACATCAACGTACAAATCCAGGAACAGACAACGGGATCCGCGGGATGTCCCACCCCAGCCCACCAACAGGAACACGAAAAAGGAAACGGGGGCCCTTCCAGCGAGATTCCTAGAAGCGGGAGTAGATCTAACGTGGCCAAATGGAAAGAGAAAAGGCTGGTATGAATCCCATGGAGCAGCAGGACGGCCTGAGTTAAAATTCCCCTGGAGCGGGCTCCACGCAGCCCAAACCACCACACAAATCATTAAACTTCGAAAGGTTAGGGAGACAGGAGAGTGGGTGATTATTTTGAAGACACCTCTCTCCTCGCTCACCCACTTTTCTGCACGGTTTGGTGACATTGAAAAGTGCTTCCCTCCCCCCCCCCATTTATCAAGTTTATCTACCAAAAACAAGTACTGAAAAGAAACCCGAGGCTGCAGACTTCTAGTACCCAGGGTGAAACAGAATCGAAATTAAGGGAGCAGGAGAAAGGGACAGGAGCTGCCTGGCACTCAGCAAACGGCTGGAATTTCAGCAATGGGATTTTTATAAGCTTCTACAGCAAAAACCACCACTGCTCTATTGCGAGCATTGGTTTTGGACCAACTGCCCTGCCACCTCCAGTTCTGCAATAATTCAGGACAAAAAAAAAAAAAAATCTCATTTCTGCATAAAAAATGTATATTTTGGACACCTTTATCATAACATGACAAAACACATGTAAACCTTCAGTATGTGAACTCTACTGTAAGTATTGTCTCGTGTTCAGCCCATGCCAAGGGCTCAGTGCCACCCAAGGGACCGACTGCGTTTGCAACAAGAGCTAAGAACTTAAAACCAGTATCTCTGTTCCTCCTCTTGGGTGCCTCCTAAAAGTAAACTTTCATGCTCAAAACTAGCATGAAAATACACTGATTTACATAATTTAACAGAGGCACAAGACTGAACAGAGCCAGGAATGAACGCTCCATGTCCCAACACATGGATGAATGTTCAGGCTATAGGTTTAAAGAAAGAAAAAAAAAATAGTAAAAACAATTAAAAAAATAATAACAGCAGAGAGAATACGCATGACTTAATCTGAACTTAAATCAAGCTGGCCCAATTCAAATGCTGATCCATCCCTGCAGATACTGTTTTGACTTGTGCATGCAGAATGTCAAAGACAACAAGCAACTTTGGTAAACGTCCTCTGAAGTTTTGAGGAGCCCCGTGTGATTGGAATGCTCATTTGTTCACTGTTAAGTCCTCTGAAGTTTTGAGGAGCCCTGTGATTGGAATGCTCATTTGTTCACTATTAAAACAGCAAATTCGAGGACAGATGAGAGAGTCAGGTGAGATGAGGATCCTGAAACTCCTCTTTCTCCAAAGGACAGCGTGTCTTAGCACCCTCCACCTGTTCTGCTGCTGGAACACGTCGATCGTGTCTTCATCTTCCATCTCTAACTGTGGGAGTAACACAGGAATTATTTTAACATTTTAAAAATATGGAAATTATAAGTAACACAGAAAACTTGAAAGACACACGATGACAAAAGCACTTGGTTTCCGCTCCTAACCAGCAATAGAGCACTTCAGGGATAACTTAATTAATTAACACGTGAAACACTTTCCCTCAGTCAACCTGAACAAAATACTTGGAACATGCTAAACTCAGAGCAACTATTTCAGGATCATTTTGATTTCAAGCCCCTTTAATCATCACGCAGACATCAGAATATCTGTGTAGCAATTTGCAGTAAAAGTGTTTTTCATACCTACGCAGGTGTTTCTGCTTCCTTAATTGGCTGTCCATCAAATGGGAATATAATCTGCCTCATTGACAAACCCCGTGAGTTCAAAGTAATTAACATGAGAAACTACGCTTGTGTTTCCAAATCCAAACTAAGTATTCATGGATTTACTGTCAGAACAAATGTTAACAAAATTAACACTCAAAAGACAAGGAGGAATGGATTCAAACTGACAGAGAGTAGGCTTAGGTTAGATATTAGGAAGTTCTTCCCTGTGAGGGTGGTGAGGCACAGGTACAGGCTGCCCAGAGAAGCTGTGGCTGCCCCATCCCTGGAAGTGTTCAAGGCCAGGTTGGACAGGGCTTAAAACAACCTGGGATAGTGGAAGGTGTCCCTGCTAATGGCAGGGGTTTGGAACGAGATGGGCTTTAAGGTCCCTTCCCACCCAAACCATCCTGTGGTTCTATGATTTAAATTTAATCATCACGACAAATACAAGGGCATATCTGTCTCCTTGCCTACACCGAGGAAGGCTGAATGTTGGTAAGTTTATACTGCCCTTAAAACCTGAGTTATCACTCAACTGAAACCTGTTTTGACAGTGTTTAATCACACGAGGAAGTCTTTATTCCCTGTCAATCCCTGAGGGATTGAGCACTGCTCTGCCCTCTCAAATCCTTGGAAATCCCTGTGTGATTCACCCTTCTGTCACACACAGAGCCAAAGGAATACTAAAATTCCATGCACCTCTGCAAAACCCCAAGTATTCACCTCTCCTTCCCAAACAGAGAGATGTCTCGATGCAGCAGGCACAGAACAGAGCAGCATGTAAAGTTTGAGTAAGTGAAGAAAGCATCCTGCTAGTAACAGATGAGGGGAAACACTGGCAAACTCCTCTTCCAAAGCCATTTACATCCCCACCCTCTGCTCTGTGTAAAGCAGAGGCATTGAGGGCTCTAGGCTCAGGAATTGGGATGGTGGGGCTACATCCCTTTCCAGTTTAGGAAGGCACCAAGGAACAGCCTCTGCCACGGAGCAGCCAACAAACACCTGCAAACGCAGTAGTCCCAACTGCAATGGGCAGTGGGAGGGACATGGGAAGGGAGAAGGAAAAAGCCTATGAGGAAGCTGTGGGATGGAAGAATTTCTTTTGTGCCATTTTCCAAATAGAAAATGCACTCAAAGTTGATGAAATTTTCAGAGATAACAGGACTGAGGATTAGCGAATTGTCTCAGGGCCAGGATCAGAACTGGAGGAATTCTGGTAGCGCTGCCACAGGACATCAGGGAAAACACATGAGGAGCTAGAGGAAACATCCACTCACTGAGAACTGCACACCGAGAAGCTGCCAGCATCCCAACTCCTCGCTCTCCCGCACGCCTGGATAGGCTCGCTCCGCCGCACCGGCACGTTCCAGGCTCCGGGCAGGGAAGCAGCGAGGGGACCCTTGCCCGGGGGGCGCGGGGTCGGTGCCGACCTGAGCCCGCAGTACGCCTTCATCAGCTTGCCCAGCGGGGCGAGCCGCTTCATTTTGAACTGCACCACGGAGCCGCGCTGCCCCGCAACTTTCAGGCTGATCTACCCGTTCCCTCTTTTCACGCCTTCCCGGATGGAACACGGCAGGGCGCGCCGGGTTCAGAGCTCAGCCGGGAGAGTCGCAGGGTCCCTACGGAGGCCGGCCCGCCTGCGCCTCCCCGCGGCCCGCCCCGTAGTCTTGTCCCGCTAGCCCAGCGGGCAGGGCGGGCCCGGGACGCGGCGGAGCGACCGATCCCCTGCCCCGCTCCGCCCGCGCCTCCCCCGGGGCTTCTCCTCCGACACGGTGGGGGCCACGCCCCCTCCAGCCGCCCGCCACAGCGCGCGCCTCGGCCACGCCCCCGCCCCGCCCGCCCGGCTCCGCCCCTGGGTCACGTGAGCAGGAGCGGTCACCGGGGCCTGTCCTGGCGGCCGCTCCCCAAAGTGCGTCACGAGGGGCGTGGCAAAGGGGGCGTGGCAAAGGGGGCGTGACCGAGACTATACCAGAGCTTCCCGGCGGGGCCGCAAGGGGGCGCTGTGCGGGACCGACACGGGATACCCGGGCGGGGCTTTGGGAACACTGCCCGGGGCAGCCGCGAGACACCTCCGGGAATGACACCTCCCGGAATGACACCTCCCGGAATGACACCTCCCGGAATGACACCTCCGGGAATGCCCCTTCCCGGCCGCACGGCACCGCCTGGCAGTGGAGGACACAGGAGTACGAGCCTTCCAGCCCCAAAGCACAGCCCGCCCGCGGTCTCCAGGCCGGCCCAGCCCAGACCGGCCCTGCCCAGGGGCACGGGCGAAGAGGCAGCAGGGTGGGATGTTGGCGCTGCTGCGGGAGCCCCTGCAGGGAGGGACCGGAACAGCTCTGGGCTTCTTCAGAGGATACCCCCTAAATACGAGGCCCAGCCAGGCTGGGGCCGCTTCTCCCACGGGCAGCGCAGGCAGGTGCCCTTTGGCCGGTGGCTGTGCCAGGGCTGTGCCAGCCCCAGGGATCCAGTGCCTCCCCAGGGATTCCAGCCCTCCAGAGCACAGGGGTGTGCGGGGCCAGGAGACGAGAAGAGGATCTGCCCCAAGCCTCCATCTCGGCCTGTTTCCCTGCCCTGACCTTCAGAAAAGCACACACCGGCCCCTTTGGGATCTCCTCAAGGAGTCGCAGTGGACTTTCCCTTAACCTTTCTTCTTCTCTTCTGGACTTCATCCCCATGGGGATGAGCAAAGCAGCACCGAAGAAACTAGGAAAAGCCCCTCTCCCCTAGTTCCAATATCTATATTCCTCCCCCTCTGCTGGTTCTTCAGCCACAGCCCACCTTCTCTGACGGCCGCATCCTTCCCTCTCCCACAGCTCCCACTCCCCCAGTCCTGCAGCAATGAGCAAAGGCGCAGAAGAAACTAGCTTAGGTTCATGTAGGAATACTGAGGGGTTTTAATTCACGGGGCCCACAGAGGCTCCGGTTCAAAGGGGATGAAGGGGAGGCGGCGCACGTAGTCCCCCGAGGCCAGCTCTTCCTCCCGCACCCTGTGCAGCCGCTCTTCCAATTCCCTCCGCACACGGCGCGGGGGCACGGGGGGACTCTGCTCCCTATCCCCGTCGGAGAATCGCCGGCGACGGCGACCTCCAGGACCCCGCGGCTGCTGCTGCTCCTCCTGCCGCCGCTGCTGCTGCTCCTGCAGCCAGCGCAGCACGAAGGGATGGAGGCGGCGACGGCGGCGACGTGGGGCCACCCCAGCAGGGTTGTCCTGCCCCTGCAGCAGGCGGATGGCCCCGATGGGCTCCCGGCACAGCGGGCAGGTGGCAGCGGCCCGGCCCTGGATGCAGGCACGGCAGAAGATGTGCCCGCAGGGCTCCACGGCAGCAGGGCTCTCCAGGGCACCCAGGCAGATCAGGCAGCTCCTGTCAGCTCCTGGCGCTGCTGCCTCATGCCTGGCCTCCTCCATTGCTGCTCCTGCCCTTGAGTCTTCGCAGCTGCTGCTGGCACTTGGTGGGTGTTGCTGGAAGGACTCAAAGGCTTGGCTTCCACTGGCAGCACTCGGAGCCCCCTCGTCCACTGCGGGACTCGGAGGCTCCTTGGCCGCTGGTGGCACTCCGAGGCTCCTCAGTCCCTGTCAAGACTCAGAGGCTCCTCAGTCGCTGTGTACTCACTGTGGCTCCTTGGCCACTGACGGCTCACAGTCTGGCGTGCTCTGGCAGTACTCGACGGCTCGGGTGCTGCCCGCAGACCTCGTCTGTGTGCTGCTGGCAGTGCCCAGCACTGCCTTTTCCAGTTACCCGCTGCAGGTGATGTCATAGGGGGATTGTGACTCTGGTGACATCCCAGAGCTCCCAGGGGCACACTCAGGGCGCAGCCACGACCTCCCCCGTCCACACAGACAGAGCCTGTGACAAAAGCCCACCCGGCAGCGGGCTGCACACCTCGGCGTTTGCCCAGCTCCCTTCCAGGGCGGTCCCTGCTGCTGGTGGGCTTGTGCCAGCATCGCACTCAGCAGGACCCACTCTGCACAGCTGCTTCCCAGGACGTGTGTTCTGCTGCCTGGGGCTCTTGCTCCCCAGGGGAAGGACTCTGCTTGTGCCTTGGTTGAACTTCCAGAGGCTCTGTCAGCCCCTTTCTCCAGCCTGTCGAGGTCCCCGTGGGTGCAATGTCATCCTCTGGTGTCTCTGCAGCTCCGGCCCACGTGGGATCCTCAGCAAACTTGCTGAGGGTGCCCCGGACCCCATCATTCAGGCCGCTGGCGAGAAGGCAGAGGAGCAGGCCCAGCACCGGCCCCTGGCCTACAGCCCTCACGCTCAGCCGCCATCTTGGCTTCACGCCGCTCATCCACACCCTCTGCTTACAGACCCGCAGCACCAACAATTAACATGAGTTCTTCTCAGGCAGATACTATTTGCAAAGTTCGGCCTTCCCTAAGCCTCCTCTTTCCCTAAACTCGTGACAAATGTCTGGGTGCTTCATTTCTTGGCCCCAGTGAGCATTTTCCTCTTCCAATACAGCAGCTCTGGAACACAAAGTAGCATATGTTGCATTGTTTCCTCTTCTTCCCCTTTTCCTGAAGATACCATTGGAGCACTACTCACTGACAACACTTCTCCTAATAATTTTGTGCCCTCTGCAGAGTCACTGAGGTTGCTCAGTGGAGAATCTCCAGTGCCAGGCACCTACAGGGCCCCACTGCTGCTGCCACCACCACTCTGTTTTGAATTAAATGGAAGAGGCTCTTAGGATTGCCGGCCAACCAAGCACAGTTATCCTGCACCTGCAGATGGGAGGCCAGTGCTCACAGCTCTGTCTTTCACAGAGATTTCATCTCTTCAAGGGCTTTGGCTGTTTGTCCCACCTTTCCTATCACATGGTTGGAATCAGCTCAGTGCCAGCTGCTTCTGGCCTTTCTGTGCAGGGCTGTTTAACTTTTTTGTGGCTCGAAGCCAAGCTCCCTGTTACAACTCATTAATCCCTTCTTTCCAAGTTGCCTGCTGCATCCTTCTAGTGATTATTGTTGTCAGCTATTGTAGGTGGTGGGGCACTGTCCCACCCTTCAGCCATGCTGTCCCCACCGCTGTCTGCTCCCCCACCACAATCAGGGCAGTGTTCCATCGTGGTGGCCTCTCCAAGGACCAGTTAATAAAGTGTCTTTTTAGCTGCCAGGCTCTGCTCTCGGTTCACTTTGGACGTGTTTCGTCCCAGACCTGAGCGGGCAACTCTCTCTACCTCACATTTATTGTTAAATAAAAATCCATACTATTGTCTTTGACGTATAGTCTTGTTTGCATCTTAATTTGGGCAGAGGCAAAAATTACATCTCTCTAGTAATTTTAATAACCTGATTGTAACACTCGGCCACACAAGGACACAGCTTCCTCTCTGTCATGGCCCAGCCAAGCGAAAGGCAGCGCCAGCTTTTCAGCACATCAGCCAAACAATACCTGCACACAGCAACCTTCACAAGAGAAATTAGGAACATCAGGAGTAGCTCCATCCCAAGCTATGGAAGGCAGCTCTGTGGATGGGGATGCTGGAGCCCAGGATAGCTGGTGCTGCCCTTGGCAGCATGGCATGGCCCTGCTCTGTCCAGGCAGGGATCTGGTTCCCCAGGTGAGCAGGTCCCTCTGCTGCCCTGGCTCAGCAGAGGAGGACAGAGCCTGTCACCAGTGGGGTCCCAGGAAGGGGAACCTGCTTGCAGGGCCCCCCCATCCCTGATGGGTTTGGAGGCACCACCCTTTAGTTCTGGGAGTGGGGCCAGTGGAAGGGCTCAGATAACCCAAATAGATTATCCTGGTCCCAGGCTGAGGGCAGGATGGGACCTGGAGCAGCCCAGCAGGGGTAAAGGCAGTTCCAACAGCTTTAGCACCTGTCCCTGTACACTGTTCGTTCCCAAGCAAAGCCCCCACAGTGTCCCCTGTACCTTTTGTTGGCAGGGGGACCACAGCCTCTCTGGGCCAGTGCACCCAGTAAAGCCCAGGGCACAACCAGCATCCTTATCAGCACTTTCCCTTCTCATTACAGGGAATGTACAATTCATTTTCCACGTACAAGGAGTTTCAAACCAACCCCAGGCACAAGGGATGTCTTTGAAGCATCATCTCCCTGCCACGTACACCCAGATGTGCTGCTGTCACCTGATCAGCAGCACCAGGACACAGCCCCTGCCCAGACAACTGACTTGGACAGAAGATGGGAAAGCAGCCATTAGAGCTTGGCAGAATCATTCCTTTTATTCCTACCACCCATGTCTCTTCTGGCAGCAGCCAGAGACAGCCTGGATTTAAAAAAAAAAAAAAAAAAAAAAAAAAAATCACCTGCAAGTCTTGCATCTCCAAGCATCCTGGCAGCAGCCAGCCAGAGCCTGGCTGCCAGCACAGCCCAGGCAGGGCAGCAGAAGCAGCGAGGGCTTACAGCCAGTTCAGCTTCACAAAGTCCAGCTGGAGCAGTTTGTGCTGAGGTCCATGAGCCTGGCAATGCAGATGGAGCATTTTATCCAAGCCACAGCAATGCTTCAACAGCCTGAGGAGTCACCCCGCCTGGCAGGAGGCCACAGCCCAAACTCTCACAGTCAATGTCCTGCCTGCACACGGGGCTCTGGGAGCTGCACGGCCAGTTCTGGTCAGGTGCAGAACATCGGAGCAGTCGGCTCCAATCCTCCTTCCCCACCCCAGGTCCCTTACAGAGCTCAGAGTTCAGTCTGTGCCTGCAGCTGCCAGGAACCCCCCAGGTCACCCCACCCAGACAAGGGCTCTCTCCCAGGAGTGCCACAGGCCATGCTCTTGCTGGAAGACCCAGCTCCTTCCTTAGAGAGCAGCATTACTCCCATCTCAAGCTTTTCCTGACACCTGAACATCTCCATGAACAGACTCTTCCTTTCAAGCCCAGCAAGAGCCCAAGCCTTGCTTCTGCCTCCTCTAGCTACCCCTGATGAGTCAGAGCCATGCAATAGTGATGACTCCATCTGCCATCACTGCCAACCCATGTCTGCTGCGGAAACAGAATTAAACTCTTTCAGACCAGGATAGTAATCGAATCAGTTTAATATTGAGTCAACATACTGTAAATGCATCTGAAACCTATAGTATTGCTAAGAGCTGTGGCCATTGAGCCCAAGACCACCTTTCTAGAAAGGCACAGAGAGGTAGGAGATTTGGGGCATTTCCCCAGATTAGTTGCAAGTGAGAAGGTTCACGTGGGACCTTCCTCCTGGAAGCCCCAGATTACCAGAAACTTGTGCTCTTTGAGAGGAATGCTAATGTGTTGGGATAAACACAGGCACCTGGAGTGACGACCAAGGCCTCCTGCTGACCCATAAGTCAGGAAACTCTTGCTGGCTTTTACATATACTAGAAGGGGAAAAAAAAGGAGAAAATAGGCAAACAGAAGAGTCTGGCTCTGTGTGCGTGAAGTGTATTTGGTATTTGGCATGGCAGGAGCAAGGGAGATGTGAAAGGTGACTTTTGCCCTTGGCCAGGGACAAGGGCTGTTGCTTGCATTGCTTTGGATCCCGCAACCACCCCAGGGGTGAGTGAGAAGAAATGTGCCACTGTCTGGTATTGCCACCATTTTTTCTTGCGCCGGCAGGGCAAGAGCAAAGCTCTGGGCAAATCGAGCACCCAGAGTGGGGACAATGGTGCCACCAAGCATTTGGCTCATCCTCTGTGGCAGCTGAAGTGGTGGTCTCCTGATGGGGGGGGAAACCTGGAGACTTTTGGCTCTGCAGAAGGCACTGTTCACGGGGGTCGGTGGGTCTGGAGATGCTAATTCTCAAATTTTGCATAAGGGTTCTCTTCCTTGAACAGGCCTAGAAGAGAGGAGAGATTCATTTAGACAACAGCTAGTCATGGCCAGTGGGAAACCCAGTTCTTGGTAACAGCTCTGTCATTTGTGCATCATCCAGCGGTCCTCCCGTAAGACCTGCTCTTACTTGAGCTGAGCACACAGCACTATTTCACTCTCCTCTTCTGCACAAGAAGAAGCACCATTAAGAAGCTCGACCTGATGGCAAACTCCTCTCCCAGGCAGTCCATGTACAGTCCAGGTAAAGCAGCATGACTAATCTTCCAGACCACTCCCTCTGCAAACCCCTTCTGTCAGACAAGTGGAGAGGCCAGATCCAAATTAAATTAAAACTGTTTTTAGACTTGCTCTACTGCTGCTACATCCAGACTGGGAGACAGCAAGGCAGGGTATCAGGCTAACTTCAGGGCCAGCAATGAGCCTCTGTGCCACTCTGTTGGCTGCTTTCCCAGCCCAACACTTTTGAGGAAGAACAGCCAGAAAGGAGATTGCAAACTCAGGGGTCAGGCTGCAGCAAGACAGAGCCCTGACATGGCAAGACAGTCCCAGAGCACAGCTCTTCCACAGGCAGGTGCTTCCCTCACCAAGAGCTCCTTCAGGCACAGCTCTGCCTGCTCTTCCTTCCCTGGAGAAGCCAGCCCATCCAGAGGTCCCTGGATCTCCTGCCCATCCTGGACTTAAAGCAGGCAGCAGCTGCAGAAAGAGGAAGGGTCTCCAGCTTTCCCTACAGCCCTTCCCCCCAAAGCCAGAAACCACCAACTGCAGTGTGCATGAGCCCAACTGCTCCCTGTTCCATGACCAGACCCTGGCAGAGCCCCCAGCACCCCAAAGGGCAGGCTGGAGATACCCCTCCACTGGCTCTGAGCAACTGGCTGGTTCCTGCTTCCTTCCAAGACTTCTGGCAGGTCTGCACCTGGCCCAATCCTGTGGGACTCACCTGAAGGACAGTCCAGCCCCCGGAGGGAGGTTGTGCCCCCCAGGGCACTGAGCCACCTCCTGCCAGCACAGAACACCAGCTCTGTGGTGCTATTGGTGCCTGCTCTGTGCTCCTGAGCTGTGGGCACTCTGATTCCTTCCTGGCCCCCCACCCCACACTGCTGGCTCCCCAGCCACTCGCTGGCCACAGGGCTACTGTGCCTGAAGGGTAACAGCATTACAATCATGCTGTGTCTCCCAGCTTTTGCTTCTCTCCTCCAGTCAAGCCCCATCAACTTCTCCCATGTGGCAAGCTCAGAGGGCACAGGTTCTGGGGAGCATTAAACACTCCCTCTTCTCTGCCCAGGAGGAAGAGTCCTTTTGTGTGGGCTCACACACCATGACCCCAGCATCCCCACACTTGCTCCCAGAGAGTAATTCACTGAGACAAGGGAAGCAGGGACTGCGTTTTCCCTGCTGGCCAGGTCTCATCTGCAGCTGTAAAAATGGCAAGGAACAGTCACTGA